TTTTTCGAAAGTTTTGGTGTCTGCCAGATCTGATCGAATTCCCCGATCAAATCCTGTAAGCTGCCACTGTACATCTCCGTGGACTCCGCGATCAGATCCTGTACGCTGCCGCTGTATATCTCCGTGGACAACTCAGCATATTGGGCCCATGCCCGATCTTGACGGGTAACCATCGTATACCCCTCCCTCAACTTTCGTGAGAATTTTGACCATGTTGTAGTACACTTGGTGTACTTAGCAATATCTCTACCAGCCTGTAACACGTCACCGTGTGCCCATTCTCTCAGTGCGTTGCACATTGTAGAAAATGCAAAATGAATTTTGTCGCTGTCCTTGATGAGCTCATGATAGTTTAGCCGCCCGTTGACCGCGCGCAACCACGGATCTAAAATTCTAAATCCTCATCCCGTCCGCCTCTAAACTTGGGCAGCGCTTCCAGCTTGGGCTTGGACATCGGTTCGTACTCAATTTCCGCTTCGCAGTCTTCTTTGGGGGAAGACAGTGCTTGTTCTGCCATGATAGAGTACTATAGGATTCTGTTTTGAGCCGTTGAGGAGAGTTGCGGATACTAGCCTTGAGCGTAAGGCCCGTTTCCAGCCTCAGGTACCAGGTGCCATGAGGGCCTGTTTTGGGAGTTAGTGGCCTTAACAAAAGCCAGTGAGCCGCTTTAGTGGGGATCGCTCGCCTTGGTTGCTTGGCCAATACATAGTTTACACACACAACATATTGTGGGGGTACCTGAGACCAGGAACCCCCACAAGTAGGCAGTAGGCTGGGGCTGAAAATGTGGCGTTACTTGCCTATACACATGCACCAGATTATTCCCATGCTTTAAGTGGACTGTGAACAGGGGTGCTAATCGATTTGAGAAGGAGCATAACGCTACCTTTTGTAGCGATTCAAATTAGTTGTGGAAAATAATCCGAAAATTGCAATAAAACGGTGATGGGAAGATGGGTGGTGTTAGGCTGAAGGGTGGCGATGCAGTCACATGGCCACGCTATTGTTGCAGGTGGTGCTCACCATATCGGGACAAGTAAGGGTAGTGTAACTTCATCTTCCTCTCTTCATTTGTTACAAAATGCGCACACAATGGCGTTCATGCACATGCAGACAGACACAGAAAGATTCTCAAACACAGGGGAGCAGGAACACAGAGCTTGGCACCTGCAAATGAATATATGCCAAAAATGCAGTTGCATTCAGGGTATGAGATAAGATGGACTGTACTTGACTAAGCGCTCGCCAAGCTTCAGAGGGAAAGCACGATCATTCTCACCCCACACAACCATCACTTCCTCCACCTGCAAGGACACAGTAAAGATGTGCGCACACACACACACACACACACACACACA